TATATATATATATATATATAGTAGGGTAGGGCTCGAACCTACTAAATGTATTCTGTTGGCACTTTTTTCTCTCTAACTGTGTCTTCCTGATACATTATTCAGCTCCAATTTGCTCTAGGAGACGCCCGTGTAGTGCACATCTAAGTGTATAGGGGTGATCTCTTTAAGTAGGTTTTCCTTTAGAGTAAAGCTAAGTTCTACCCTTTGATTTATAGGTCATCAGAGTTTAATAGCTAACTTCTTAGAGCTAATCAAGGTGCTTAAAAAGTTCCCAAGAGTTGAGTTAATACTAATTAGCTTTCGGGAGTGAGCTAACTCTGATGACTTCTATTAATCAAAGAGGGTTTCTTACTTTAAAATCTGGTCTGAGACCTGAAGTCTCTCACAAGCAGACTATGTAGTTTTAGACGCTTATTCCGACTGCCTTCGGTCATATATGTATCTGGGTTGTCAGGGTACTTAGGTATCCCACATTTCCTTATTCTATTTTATTAATTATTCCCACGTATATACTGGACTGTGTGTTGAGACTGTATGTTGAGATGCTCTATTTGACACTGATTTTATGATATTTATGATTTGGCTTTTGGGTTTACAGGTGCTATCGAGGAAAATCTCTGGTGCTACAGAGAAAAATCTCTGGTGCTATAAAGGGAATCTCTGGTGCTTTAGGGATAATATTTTATTCTTCAATTTGGGTAAAGTTTCATATGTCTACATGTACATCAGGCTTCATATTCGTTGGAGAGGTTCTGGGAAAATCGAAGGGAAGTTGAGATTGTCGAACTACCGCAAGAATCTTTGGGCGAGTGATGTAACGATGGAAGAAATACGGTGCGTAAGTCACAGCGATGGATACAGGAGTTATCCATAGAGACGGCTCCACCCCTAATGAGTTCAAAGATAAACCAGTCCGGGTCGAACTCCTTCGATTAGTACACCGCAGTGCTAAGCTACCTGTTAACGATGAGTTATGGACGGAAGGCGGAGTTGAGCTCAGACATATCATCAGACACTGCACGAATGATAACACTGGTGCGACTAAGTACATAGTACGGTGGTGTACAGGGGATCCCACATGGGAGACGGAAGAGGCCTTTGACGATCACAACAACATTGCCGCCTACCATAAGGCAGCGCAGACACGTACGCGCAAGCGCCAACGCGCTCAAATATAATACTCCACCTTGTACATAGTTAATACATACAGCACACGGCGGGCCGCCCAAGACGTACACTTCGGGCCCTCTAGCTCTGAGGTTGAATGCCAGCGAACTGCTTCAGCTTTCGACGGTAAATGCCAACCAGAAACTCTATCTCTCGAGTATAATGCCAGCACAGGTCTACCCTATATATGGGTATCCCTTTCCTAATCTTAGTCAGTTATTCAATAATCTAATAAAGACGCAACGTCTCCCTGACAATTTGGAGATCGTTACGATATAGTTATTCGAGCGTAACTTACTGCAGTACGTGAATGTGCATGTGCATGTGAATGTGCATGTGCATGTGCATGTGCATGTGCATGTGCATGTGCATGTGCATGTGCATGTGCATGTGCATGTGCATGTGCATGTGCATGTGCAGGTGCATGTGCATGTGCATGTGCATGTGCATGTGCATGTGCATATACATGTGCATGTACATGTGCATGTGCATGTGCATGTGTACTTGTATACGTATGTGTGAGAGTGAGTGTATGTGTGTGTGTGTGTGTGTGTGTGTGTATGTGTATGTGTATGTGTATGTGTATGTGTATGTGTATGTGTATGTGTATGTGTATGTGTA